GTTGTGTGTCAGCGTACGTGTCATGTGTCTACCTGCCTGCGCGCGCGCGTGTGTGTGTGTGTGTGTGTGTATATATATATATATATATAGATATATATCTATATATACACGTGTACACGCGTGTGTACACATATACATATATATGCATATTTATGTATATATTTATATATAAAAAATGACCGCCCATTGTTCACCTATCCGTACCCCCTTCTTTTTGTTATAAACAAATATCTTCGAACTAATACAAGAGAAAGACGATTTCCCTGCAATTCGTGAGGGAAATGTTCCCTTTCCATTTGTTTAAATAAAATGAATACAGATGCATTAAAAATCGATCGTACCCCTTGATCGTTTGACAAAATGGAGGAGAAACTTTGTTGCACGTAGTACAAAACAAGTATTTGCTGTTCTGTTCTCTTCTTTTTCCTGCACTATCGATTTGAACTTGCATTACTTTGTGCATTCATTGAAACAGCATGCAAATAAAATAATTCTTTTTCACGTTATTGCTTTTACAAGTATTTAACCTCGTATCGTTAGTCGTTACGTCACCTCTCCTGGATGAAGTAATTTTACAACCTCTGCAATTACAAGTCCCCTTAATGTAACCAGAAAAAAAAAAGAAAAGGAAAAGGAAAAGAAGAATGTGCAGATGGCGATATTTACCGACTACTTCAGTTAAAAAAATCACTCAGCGTTAATTTTATATTCTAAATTATTCGTTGATTATTCTATTAATTAGAGTCGTCATCCCCTTTGACTACAGATTCTACCACCTGTTTATACTACTTAATCGTAAGGTCTTGAACCGCATAATAAATTACACTCAAGATACATTGCTATGACACCTCATTTTATAAAATTAGACAAAGGGGAATGGGGGATATATTATGGTCGTTTCTTCGAATTTTGCGTCTTGAAATCACTTTAACGTCGTTTAGAAAATTATCACAATCCGCGATCGTTTCCTTTCAGAATCCTTATATATGTTTTCTGTTTTCTGTTTTCTGTTTTCCTTTCTTTTCTTTTCTTTTCTTTTCTTTTCTTTTCTTTTCCGTTCTTTCAAGAGAGGAAAGTGAGTTTCTCCTCCAGGATAAAAGAGATCCTATAAGTAATCAGTAAAAAAGAGAGATCGGCAGCGACGGAGGAAAACGAAGGTGGCCATCAAGGAGTAAAATCACAGAAGGACTCGCATCGTGAAGCGAGCGAAGGAGACCGAAGATAAAGAGTAGAAGGTGACGGTCAAAGTTATGCCGGCCAAAGGGTCAGAGTATAGAACATCGTGCGAGCCAACTTGGTGGTTTCCTCTGTGGCTCGGATGCCTTCAACTGATGTCCGCCTCCTTTTGGTGGATTTGACGCCTCCTGTTTCAACAGAAATTCATCGTTTAACATTGTTCCACTCGCAAATAACATGTTTCCAAGCAAACATAACACTCAACGTCAAGCGTACACTTTAAAGTTCTATAATCTGTTTTTTAATACATTCATTTCTCTTGTCAAACTGTACAAGATCTGTCAATGGAAATTCTTAAATGTCTCTAGAGGATTTCATCATTTCAAACGCAATGAAAATACATCAAATCCTCTAGAGGCATTAAAGGTGTTCTGTTGGAAGAATTATCATTAGACGATTATAGATATATTCCTTTTCTTTTAATAATGACAAAGATTATATTTAAAAGAACAAATTAAAGAAAGAGTAAGAGAAAGCAGGAATAATTTGTCAACGCAAAAACAAGATTCTTCGCTGAAAATACTGTGCAGATATTAAAAGCAATGTTCCACGTGTTTATGTTAGTTCGTAAATCTATGTGCAATATATGAATTACTAATATACAGATGATTGTATGAAACAAGGCAAAGATACAGTTACAACAAGTGTTACCAATCTGTAGGTATTTTGATCGGTAAAAGCTCGATTGAACGCGAACAATATATCATGAATGTTTTTAAAAAGCAGTATCTTAGAAGAACAGAGAAGCAAGATATAAACTAAAACTGAGTGTGCGTATTAAACAGCTTACATACAATTACGCTACTGCAATTAGTCTCAACTATGTCGTTCAAAAATATACTTCAGTCTACAAAAGTTGTTGTGAAACTTAGATGTAATTACAGTTCACATTTAATTGAACAACTGTGTAATACAATAGTTAATCGTAATACATCGACAATTGATTATTTCAATTAGTAGCAAGTGGGAGATGATTTCTAATAACTTCACATAGTATTCATTGATACGAATAATCAAATTTCAAAGAAGTACGCAAAAAAAAATACATAGAGAGGGAAAGAGTTACCTTCTGCCGAGACCGACCAGCACCAAACACAGAGAAACAGACACAGGAAACAAAAAAATGGTGGTTAATCAATGTAAAACTACTTGCCATAACAAATCTGTAAAAGCAACTAAATTACATATCGACGGAAATAGACTTTTACATCACTTTTAATTACACTAACAAGTGATGAAATCAAATTCCTTATTTATCATTGAAATACTGACACTGCAAGATACATATACCCCTTATATTTTATAAATATTTCAGTAATTATTTCACCTTTTAACCTTCCAGCAATATAAAAACATGATACACACAATCGAATGATATTATATAATGCAAAGTTAAAGACAAATGTGATCAATATTGATTACAACCATCGTGTTTCATACGTCTACTCGTACAGTAAAAAATGGTGCCTCTTGACAAACTTATAGTGGTTTCAAAAGGAGATAGAAAAGGCAAGAAGAGACAGAAAAGAAGAGAGTACTTTTACATTGAAGAAATGTATTGAATCTAACGTTACCATGCATTGTTTTAAAATTTGTTACGCATAATTCAATTTTATTTATTTTCCTTCCCACTAAAATTTAATTACTCTTTTACTGGAAATGTTATTCGAATTATTCAATTTATCATTTGACATTTAAGGAAACACTTAAAGTTCATTCTCTGTACAATTACTATCACTGGAAGGCTAATGATTAATTCTTTTTTCGTTGTATCAATTTAAATAGATTATAATTTCAAAAGTTAAAATTATCTCTATTGCACTATGAATTTAGGTTTTGAATCTTGTAAAAAGTATGTAACTCTTTGAAGTAAGTAATACATATAGAATAATAGTATATTTTTGGAAAGTATTTACCAGTTTCTTTTCCATTTTAGCTTTAATATCTCGTGCAAGGGTATAAAATGCCTCTTCAACGTTGATGCTGGACTTAGCCGAGGTCTCCATGAACTTAATTCCATACTCAACAGCAAGTTGTTCTCCTCGTTCCTTTGAAACTTGTCGTTTTTCTGTGACTTCACACTTATTGGCCAAAAGCATCTTTTCAACATCCGCCGACGCATTTTCTTCAATGTTCCTAATCCAATTTTTTATATTTTCAAAGCTCTTCTCGTTGGTCACATCATAAACTAACATTATTCCCATTGCACCACGATAATATGCTGTAGTTATTGTACGAAACCTTTCTTGACCTGCTGTATCCCTTTAGAACATTTAGAAAAAATGTATGTACAGTAATATATACAAAATACTATTTTATTAAGTATAAAATACAGAAGAATTATTTTTATATTTATAAATATGTAATCAATGTTACTTCAATTTATAACATTGTGTTTAGAAAATTGAATAATAATAATAAAATACTTGTAATTACAATTAAAAAATAATCTTATGCGATACATATTGTAATGTCCTCTTCGTTAGGGCTACAAGCAATTCTGTAATTTTCTATGTTTTTAAAGTTAATATCTAACTTGTAACACTTACCATATCTGTAGTTTTATTTTCTTTCCGTCTAATTCTATCGTTCTTATTTTAAAATCAATTCCTAAAAACAAGAAATGAGCTTAAATATATATAATTATATATTTTATTTTATCACTTTAATTTTATCACTTTCTGTCTCTGTCATTAATATTCAAATTTATCAATGAGGACCTAATAAAAGAAATGGGTTTACGTCTAATTGTTATTTTATAAATTTATCCAAACATGAATTTACATAAATACCCTTGGTCTAACTGTAATAAACATACGTATCTTCGTACATTATATTAGCAAAATAGGTGTTAAATATTTTGTTTGAGTATTGTTATACAATATTTACAAACACCAGAGTGTTAATCATAATTTATATTATAATTAATTATAATTCAGGTAATATAAGGCATTAAAATTCTTTGGAATTAATAAACATTCGCATCGCAATATACGAAAAGACTAAAATCAATCTGAACAAGATGAAACATAAAAAAAGGAAAATATACATATATAACAGACCGAATGCTTCTGAAATTTTAATTACTCCCTTAAAGATACTCTATACGTTTGACCCTCATCTACATATTCAGGCATACTATAGAACATCTAAAGAATCATTTAACAACTTATGCCAATGAAAACAAGCATGTTTGAAAGTCTACTACACAGAATAAAAATTAAAAAAATCAAAGTCCATGGAGCAAAAAGAAGATATTCGTTAAAAGTCTCAATTTAATCATCATACAATCATCTGTACATTCAGATTTTGCAGATGATCAAGAGAACCATCCAAGAAATTTTATTAACAGGCCACAACCGTGTTCTATCATGATGATCCATTAATTAAGAGTGGGAAGAGCATGAAAATAATGGGAAGACGA